ATGTTACACTACCATATTCGAAACTTTCATACTGGAGCACAAGCGCTCTTGCATAGTGTGAGACAAAAATTTTGGCCGATAAGTGGGCGTAATCTTGCTAGAAAGATAGTAAGAGAATGTGTTACGTGTGCCAAAGTAAAACCAGTATTGCTGGATCAAAAGATGGGAAATTTACCATTAGAGAGACTGAATCCATCCTTTCCCTTTAACCATACTGGTGTTGACTTTTGTGGCCCTTTTGGTATAAAGTATACAACTCAGAAGAAGAGCGTAGTGCACAAGATTTATGTTGCAATTTTTGTTTGCCTCTTGACTCGTGCAGTCCACCTCGAGATCGTTTCAAATTTGTCTACAGAATCATTTATTGCTGCTTTGAAGCGATTTATTTCTAGAAGGGGTAAATGCGCAACCTTATTTAGCGATAACGCTCGAAATTTTGTTGGGGCTAGCAATGAATTGAAGCGACTCTACAATTTGTTGAAATACCCTGATGAATTCTTAACCAAATATCTGACATCTGAAAGAATTCATTGGAAGTTTATCCCTCCCAGGGCTCCTCACTTTGGAGGTATCTGGGAGGCAGGTGTTAAGTCGTTTAAGTTTTATCTTAAGCGTGCAGTTGGGAGATTGATTTTTACATTTGAGGAGTTTCTTACAATTTTGAACCAGATTGAAGGAATTTTAAATTCACGTCCAATATCCCCTTTGTCAAATGACACCAATGATTTAGAAGCTCTTACACCCGCACACTTTCTAGTCGGGCGACCTTTAACATCAATAACAGAGCCTGATTTAACTGATTTTTCTGATAGTTCTTTAAAGCGCTGGCAGCGCACTACTAAAGTAACGCAATATTTGTGGAAAAGATGGCAAAATGATTACATCAGTCATTTACAGCAACGATTTAAGTGGTATTTCTCTAAGGATAACGTTAAAAAGGGCACTATAGTTTTAGTAAAGGAAGACAACATGCCCACTTCGACTTGGTTACTGGGTAAAATAGAAGAGGTAATTTATGGTAAGGATAAAAAGGTTAGAGTTTGTATTGTAAGAACCAAGTCAGGTTTTTTAAAAAGACCAATAACTAAATTAGCTGTACTACCAGTAGATGTTACATAATTTCATGTATATTTCCTGAGTTCAAAAAATTGTTATATATATGCATTGTATTTTAATTTAGATGTTGTGCATTTCATGTTCTGTGGTTAATTATGTTTATTGCTTTTGTTCATGTGTATCAATTTAAATTTTGTGATATATGATTTGGACTATATGGTGATTTAAAACTGTTTAATTTTGGTCATTGTTAACTATGTAACAAATGCCCAACCCGGGCGGTATGTTAAGGCAGAAGTGATCTGGCAACCACGAGGGGAGAAAACGACAACGTGGTTAGCTAGCGGCCATTATTATTGTGTTTGATTGCGTGCTGGGAGGTGCACCTATGCGATGGCAAGAGTGTCCATCCAAACAGAAGTTAAAAGAAATAAAGCTACAGTCCATTAAATCTTGGTGTTTGTGTTTCATGAGTACGTATATTCTCGAACAATGCATATATTTCTTCTTTGACAATATATTGTTCATAATAGAAGATACTTTTTCCTGGAAAGAATAAACTCAATGTTGAAAAGTAATCTTAAAAATAATGACGATTTCCACTCATTTCAGAAAATTTCTTACTCATCTATCAGATGTAGAAATGTTCACTTTATTTCAGAGGGATTTAGGTGCCTCACTTGTTTTAAAATTCTTTGAATAATGCATCTCTCAATGTTAACAGTTCAGCTTCTTTTGATCCCATCATTCCTGATACTGATATTACCACTACAGGTTGTGAATAGCAATTTATGATTGCTTAGTATATTTATAGACTTCATTTAAAACAGAAGATTTTTTATCAAATTGGTAGACGGCTAGGAAATATGGAAAAACGATATTGTTCGGTTCGGACGTATGGTCAGCCTATGCAATGTGTATATGAAATGAAACATGCAGTTTTCACTGGCAACTATGAAAGGATTGAAATAAAAGCTATTAATGATTACTGTACTTGTATAAACTTTTACATGATAACTTATTAATAAATTATTGCTAAAACTTCATACTTATTAAAAGTTTTAACTTATTTTCACTTTTAAGAAAGCAAATGCCAATGTAAAGTATAATGTGGGAAATGCTATGAGGAAAATTGAGTTTTGGGGAAAAAAATGAACTTCTTTTTGTCCCATTCCCATTTGCCACTATGAATAATGCCTCCTAACATTTTTTTAAGAATTTCTTCAAGCTGTTTTTCCTAAATAATATATGAAGTTGTAAATTGAAACTATTTTATGTTAGTATAGTCCAAAAGATACCTATAAATTGAAATGTGATTATATTTAATTAATGTAAATTAAAATTTCTAGTTATATCACTGGACATTCATGAGGAATACGTTTGAGTTTTACAACCATTTGTGAGTCGTATGGTTTCATATGTGTCACAGGCAGTCTTTGTCATGAGCTTTCATAACAGTCTGAGTATACCAATCTAGTTCAAATGAATCCCTTGCCCTTGAAACTATGAATTGCTCATTAGAGAAAATTCTGCTAGTCCAGATCCTATTTTATACAGTACAAAGTCCGTGATCCGGACGTCCATTATCCGGAATGATCTATAATCTGGACCTCAAAGCCACAAACTTTTTTGTATGCTTTACGCATGAGCGTAATGCGTTTACGCATGTGTGTTTAATGTATAACGGACGGTATAAGCTAGACGAAAATTATTTTTACTGATTCTAAGGCATTTCAGTTAATTTTGCAGATTGCGCTGTTCCTTAATCTTCTAATTGGATCCGGCTTATTATTTTTTTGCAGACTTGTTATTAGTTATGGCAATTTTGTAAAAACTAAGCTTGAACTTTCGGTTATGTCGAAAAGAATTTCCAATTCTGGAGCTTGCCATAGGATCTACCAGAGTTGTTTTTTATTTGTTTCGATGTCCATCAAACAAAAAGTGGAATTTCTGCAAAAAATGGATAAAGGCATATCCGTGCCTCAAAATTATGTGAGGAGTATGGCATTGGAATGTCAACGCTGTATATGACCTACGCAAAAAAAAAAAGGGAACTTTTTGAATTTTTCGTGGATTCATCTTAAACCCCACTTGCATAGTTGAATAGAAATGTTTAATAAAATAGTTCGTTATGCTAAAAGTGATGATCATGACAAAGTGATGATTGAATGGGTCAGACAGCGTTGCAGCGAGGGCGTGCCATTGACGGGTCCAATGCTAATGGCTCAAGCCAAAATATTTCATGAAAACACTGAGTGCACATATTCGACAGGTTGGTTAACCAAATGTAAAAATCGCCATGGTATAAGACAATTAAAAATTTCAGGTGAAAAAGCTTCAGCTGATACTGAAGTTGCTGAACAATTTGCAGATGAATTCATTGTACTCATTACTAGTGAACAATTATCTCCAGAACAAATTTACAACGCTGATGAAACTTGTCTTTTATGGCAATATGTACATATGTACAGCGAAATAAATATCTTGGGAACCTCTACAGAAAAGGCTCAAACTGGTGTCAAAGCTTCCAAAGCGAGACTAACAATTTTAGCGTGCGCAAATGCTGCAGGAACGCACAAGTGGAAACGTTTCGTAATCGGAAAACATGCACGACCTCGAGCATTTAAATGGGTAACGATTTTCCCCGTTATATATCGCGCAAATAAAAAAAAAGAGCATGGATTACACAAGCGTTGATGAATGATTGGTTTGAAAATCATTTTATATCCGAGGCTCGGCGGCATTTGAATTCGGTTGGTTTACCTGATAACTCAAAAATAGTCCTGATTGTTGACAACTTTTCGGCGCATGCTTCAGTTAAAGTTTTATTGAAAGATAATGTATCCGTATTATTCTTCCCTCCACATTGTACGTCTATCATTCAACCTATGGATATGAGAATAGTGCACGAGCTGAAATGCAAGTATAAAGTAGCATTTTTAAAATCTATGTTAAATTTCTTGAACAATGGCAAGACTATTCAAGACTTTTGAAATTTTTTAGCATAAAATCTGCTGTGTGGAGCATCGCAAGATCGTGGGAGGATGTGTCTCCAGATACGTTAAAAAAATGCTTGGCATAATTTATGGCCAGCTAACCATATTTCATGGTGAGGACGATGAAGATGATAACCCGCGAATTTGAAGGTTTTCGGACATCGCAAACTAAAGGTGAAATTTTTCAGTTATTGGATTTTGTAAAGAAATGGGGAAAAGCGGTAATAAATGAAGATGATATGACAGAAGTTTTTCATTACGACGACAATGCCCCAATCATCAATCAATTAACGGACGGCGAAATCTGTAGTATGGTTCTAGATCCAGAAAATACCGCTTCCGATAGTTAAGAAAGTGACAGAGAGGTTATTGAAAACGAAAAAATTTCGATTGACAAGTTAGTCGGTATTCTCGACACAACAATTACAGGACTTGAACAGTGGAACTTTGTAACTGAACACGAAATTATGTCTGTTTATAGAATTAAAGAGAAAGTATTAGCACAAAAAAAAAAAAAAAAAAAAAAAACTAAGCAACTTAAACAACTTACATTGAAAGAAATGTTTAATAAGTAAACAATAATATTAAGCTTTTTTTTTTTTTTTTTTTGTAAATTTTGATACCTTTTATTTAGATCATAATTGCTCTTTATTTCATAAATTACGGTTTCATATTCTTAACTGTATAATTTCTGCCTGTCATCTTACCAGATTTAAATTGATGATCTATAATCCGGAAAAAAACCCTAATCTGGAATCGCCGAAGTCCCGACGATTCCGAATTACGGACTTTCTACTGTATTACTAAGAGCTTTTTTGGTAAAAAACCGCTTCCATTTTTTTTTTTCATGCCTGTAAGTGTTTTTTCCTGTACATTAATAGTTTATTTTAAAGTTGATATTTAAAAAATCATGTACATGTCTCTGAAAAATGTTCTTTTTTCCTATAGCAATTAGCATGGGAGGAAGAACAATTAAATGTTCCAGTAGATTTTAGCAAATGCCATATTGACCCTGCTCCCTTTCAGTTAGTCGAAAGAACTTCATTAATGAAGGTAAAAAGTGTTATTTTTTTTTTTAACTGTAACGTTTTGTGAAAAATGAGCTAGATCATTAGAACTGTGAGTGAGTAAGCTATTGGAAAGAAATCTCATTTTCGTTTCCTGCAAGTTTATTATGAACTGCTCAGCGAGTTCTTCATTTTTTGTCACAATATGACAAGCAATGAAATGTTATTTAGTTATTTAATAATGCAAAGATGTATTGTAATCGTGCTTTACTTATATATTTGCATACTAGTAAACAGCTTTTTTTTTTTTTTTTTTTTTAATTCTTTCTTTCAGCGCTCATATGTAAACAAGTTCTTACTACACTTATTTTAAATCTTGTATGATGAAATATTTCTCTTTAAATATGATTTAAAAGATTTTCTTTGTTGTATTTTTGTTTTAATACAATATTGTATGGTCATAGGTGTGTATGTATGTGGTTTAAAACTATATCAACGTTTTTTATTGCTCTAAAGTGTATGTTGGTATAGTTTCAAACACTACTATAAAGCACTAACGTAATTTCAAGTTCACACCCTCCATAAGGAAGAGGCTATGATTTAATAATAAATTTTCAAGTTTGATTTTTTTTTCAAAATTACATTACTTTATATATATAAATGCCCACCTACGAACATTTATAGAGCATGAACTATCGTATTTAACTAATTCAATATTTATATTCAAAGTGCACAACAAACCATACCATTTAGTTATTAGTCTCTAGCACGTTTGCATCGTTCTGGTACTATATCTGAGTATATGCTTCTTCTTTCATGATGCAGTGCGTGGTGTAATTTGATTTGCAACATATGATTGATGCTGCTTATCTAATTTTCTTGAGATACTTAAGAAAGAAGATGGTTTAATAAGTAATTCATCTATACATTTTGCCCTCATGTATTTCATCATAAAGTAATATTTTAGTTTCAGATATATTTTTGAGTATATCTAGAATAACAATATTATAACAGTATTTGTTGCACTAGCTGATACTCATCTCTTCTTAAATGCTATGCAAAGTCAAATATCCTCATGTCCAAAAATTAAGCATCTGATGTAAATACATACGAAAATAGTGGGTTGTAATCTCATTGAAATGTCCCAGTAATAAGGTTAAATGACTCGTTTTAGCACCCATCTTCTTGCGAGGAAAAGCAGCTTCGTGCAGTTCATGAGTTTTCTTTGTTCTGTTTCAGCCTTCGTATATAAGGTGGGGCATCAAAAAGCTGACAATTCGTCGATGTGGTCGATTCGCTATTCGTCGATGTGATGATTCTTCGAAATCCCATATTCATCGATGTGGCCTTTATCTGTGAAGGTTGTGCTTTCTTCCTGCTCTTAGAAATTAGCAGGCTGGCAAATATACTGGACACTAATAAGAATGTGATTTTGGCAGGTGATCTTAATGCCAAGAATAAGGAGTGGTATTGCCGGAAGACGAACAAGAATGGTGAACATCTGATGGAGTTCATTAATAATTACCCTGTCTATTTTATGCTCCGAGTGAGTATACTTTTCTACCGCACAACCCACATCGGGGTGATATTTTGGATTTGTTCCTTTCCACTACTGCCTTGCCTCTCTACTTTGAAGTTATCCAAGAAATGAGCTCCGATCACTGCCCGGTTGTAGCCACTCTTGGCACTACCAAGAACTGGAAGCTTTCCTATGACCTCCTGGATGATAACGCCTCTGAGCCTCTGATACATTCAGTCTCAGCACGCCTATGGATATTGATTTTGCTGTGAATCAGCTCACGATGAAAATCAACGCTGCGTATAATAAGGCTACCAGGAGCATTCCCAAGCAGCACATTGCAGATCGACTTCCTAGCCATATCAGGGAACACATTAAAGACAGGAATAGGCTCAGAAAGAGGTTCCACGTCACCTGGGTTCCGCACACCAAAAGGCAGATTACTAAGCTTAATAAAGAAATCAAAAATTTAATCTCCACGCACCTTTGGGAAGACAAGATCACGAGTTTTAATGAACCTGATAATAACTTTTGGTCTTTTGTGAAAAGGCTCAAGAATACCCCCACTGTTAGCAAGCCAGTCTACACGGAGAACAAGATCGCCCTCACAAATAAGGACAAGGCCCGTCTCCTCGCGGAGCACTTCGAGAAGCAGTTCTGTCCAAATAATTGGCCATGTGATGACAACTTTGTTTAAGATGTCAGCTCTTCTGTTAATGACTGGTTTAATGCCCCCAATGCTCAGAATTCTCTTGAACTTACTTCTCCCCGCGAGATTACGGAAATTATCAAGAAGCTCAAGAACAGGAAAGCGCCCGGATTTGACGATATTAACAACATTGCACTCAAGTGGCTTCCACTCGGTATCATCACTAGATTTACTGGAATACTAAATGCATGCCTTTACAACAGCTACTTCCCCAGACAGTGGAAAAAGGCCAAATTGTCTGGAAAGGACCAGACGAATCCGGAGGGCTATAGGCTTATTAGCTTACTGCCCAGCATGGGCAAGATTTTAGAGAGACTGATTCTTAGTAGAATGCAGCCATACCTTGACAAGTTACCCTTGGAGCAGTTCGGTTTCCGAAAGACCCTATCGACCACGAAGCAGCTCGTGCGTCTCAATGAGTATATTGTGGGCGCCTTGTATAATAAGCAGAAAGTCGCCTAACTCATGCTGAACGTGGCGAAGGCATTCGACCGCGTCTGGCATGAGGGGCTTATCCTCAAGCTAATAGGATTCCAGTTCAGCAAAGAACTCATACTTCTCATCCACTCATTTTTTGTGCAGCTTGGAAAGGACACTTCTGATTGCAAGCGCAACAACGCCGGCGTCTCGCAGGGTTCGATTATCGGGCCCGTGTTATATCTATTTTATGTTGCTGATCTTCCTACTATGAACATGGACCTCAGCTACTACATTGCATGTTACGCAGATGATGCTGCTATTGCAGCCAAGTCCTTCTGCCCGAATCATGCCATCAAAAAGCTTCAGAGACTCATGCCTCAGATCGAGCAGTGGTGTTCGAGGTGGAGAATTGCAATCAATGCGGATAAGTCGAATCTCCTAATTATTAAGAAGAAGCGCACATGGGCGCCAGTCACGGCTCAGCTCAAGCTTTTCAACACTGTTGTGCCGATTGTCACTAAGACCACTTATCTTGGTGTTAAGTATACTTCAGACTTCAAGTGGAAGGAGCACATCAACTATGTTAGGGGAAAAGTGCTCAGAGCTATCCAGAATCTCACGCCTCTTCTTGCTGCAGACTCGAACTTAGACCTAAGGAGAAAGCAGAATATTTATATTACCATTATCAAGCCCGTTTTTGCCTACGTATCGCCTGCATGGTCGGCGGTTCGCACAATTAACCTATGCAAATTGCAGATTACTCAGAATAAGTTCTTACGACGGATTACCCGTGCTCATCGCTATGTCTCCAGTGGTACACTCCATAATGACCTGCAGATCGAGACTGTCGATAAATTTCTCCATAGAATGAACGGCAATTTCTTCAAGAAGGCCCGGACTTGTTCCCACCTGGGACAGCTTAATATTTTCAATTATGAAATTCTCGAAATGGTCTCAGATCTTAGACCCCTTGCGGCCTATCTCACCCGTGACTCAAACTTTCCTACCCAATTTTTGTTACATATTCATGTAAATACTGTTTTTGCTTTATATCCTTTATGTATCTTGTATTTCAGTGATATTTTATTGTAACTTTTTCCCATTTATCTTTTAACTTGTATGTATTGTTTAATTTGTCATGCAGTGTATTTATTTATGTTTGCTTAATTTATCATGATCTTGTCTTTGTCTTCAAGTATAGCGCAGACATGACTCTCAGTTAGCCCTCACTACTGCTCCGATTCGTTGTATCCTCCTCTGTCTTTGGCCGTTTTCGGACTGTGACTCCGGGTCATCCCTTTTTTACCCATTTCAGACCTCTAATGTCCGTCATTTTCTAACGTCATGTGCCTTCTTGGCCTTGCTTATCATTGAGCCGGAGACGTCGCGCCTTGCGCGATATTCCGGCAATATTTGTGCGGATAAGGTGCGGATCTTCCTGCTCCTGCTCTTGCTTGGTTGTTGTCACATGACTTTAGTTAGACGTGCCCGCCTCGTACGCTTACCTGCTTCGCTATGCCTAACGAGCACCGCGCTGTTCTCGTAGATCAGTCCTACGCTGATCTGCACTGCTTTGGGCACTCAAAAAATAATCCTGAGGATAAAGAACTCTTTAATGGCACTTAGAACTGTCGATGATCTTCAAACCAATTGAAAGAGGGCAAACCCGTCAAAGCCGCTTTACGAAGGAGTGAAAAAAATCTTCTACGGTATCGTGGATTCCCAGGATATGGATCGTAGTCAGTTTTATGATCCCGATCACGCTAGCAGTTTAGGAAAGGCGACAAGTTTATTATTTTGAACTCATCCGTCGGCAAAATATGAGAAGAAATAAGCTAGCTGCGAAATCGCTGCCTGCTGCCTCAGAATTTAAGAAAGATTTGGTATCGAACTCAAATCCTCATGATGATGGTGGTTGGATCAAGCCGCAGAAAACAGCCAAATTGCCTATTACTCGTACTCCTGAGCCAAGTAATTAACCTATCAATTCCTATGTCAAAGACTGACGCGGATATTTCCACGAATAATAACTTCGATGGGCTGTCTTTAGTGCCACCCCCCCCCCCCCCGGCAGAACCCATGGATGTGAATAAAGAAGTTTCTACGAAAGACGTCTCGCATGAAAACTCTGAGGTTTTCACGCTAGTTATAAAGAAGGAAAGAGTCCCGTCTATCATTTATTTCCGACCGGAGGTGTCATGGAGCAAAATAAGAGGTCTCTTCTCCAAACACGGAGTTATTGAACTTTACGGGAATGCTGACTAGACACAAGATAACCAGCCTGTTTGATTCTGCTGAACATCGGGACCGTGCTCTTGCTATCCTGGTGAAGCATGAAAATTCAATTTAACACTTTTAGAGCAAAGAAGGATATTCCTTTAAAGGTTGTAATCAGAGGTCTCACCGACGATTCTTCCACGGAGGATATTAAGAATGAACTTTGCAGCGAAGAATTCCCTGTGATTAAAGTCTCTCAACTCACTCAGAAAACAGATGGTTCAAAAGTAAAACTTCCCGTTTTCTATGTCTAGCTTCAGACAACCGATGCTGGAAGAAGCATTTATAGAAAGAAAAAGCTACTTGACCTTAAGGTAACTTTTCGTAAATTTAAGAGCAGCAGAAACGCTATGATGTGCTTTCGATGCCAACGATATGGACATGGGCAGCTATTCTGCAACAACTTACCAAGATGTATGAAGTGCGGAAAAGATCATCTTACCTACACGTGTAAATTACAGAAAGATGAAAGGCATACCTGCGTCAACTGTAAATTAGACCATGTAGCGTCGCCCAAAATCTGCGAATTTAGAGAGAAAATTCGCAATACTGAAAATCTAAATAAGCAATCTCATTCAACCAATAGAAGATTCTCCGTTTCTCCTACTAGCAGTTCTCCGTCGAATGAGAAGCGAGCATTCAAAGATAAAAACCCAAATGCGAAATCTTACTCTGATGTTGTGAGGCAAGATGAAAAGGATTTCCTGATGGATGATAATTTTAAAATACTGGTATGCAAATTTATGGAGTTTGCGGAGCAATGCCAAAAGCTGCAGTTCCCCCAAGAGAAGATTTTACTTGCCTTGGGGATCGTCAAAGAGATAATCTGAATGGACATGTAATTTAGTTCACCTTTCGTATGATGATTTACTAAATTTTCTCTTTAGTTTCAGTGGGCTTCGATGTATGGCGTCACGTTGTGACTTAACTCGTGGATCACACATGAACTTTAGCTGTTATGATAATATGACTTCTTATACCTGTGATGTCTTAAATTCTTCTCACCTCAAGACTTTTCCTGCTGGAAACTTACTACGTCCGGAACTTCTACTGTGATGTGCCTTTTTGGCGTATTTGTCATCGAGCAGGACACGTCGCCCCGCGCGAGATATTCCTGTCATACTCATATTGATTGATTGATTGAGTTGGCTATTATTCGTTGTGGGGCAGTGGGCACTAAGAATGGGGTCTTCAATTAAATTTCGCTCCATTCATATCCTACCCTGAAAAATAAACCAAGTCAGGTATATTAACAGTTAAGATAGCAGATGACTTCAGTACCTCTTTTATCGGAAATCCTAGCAACCTGTTTTTCATACCATCATTATAATCAGATTCATTGAAGCGATTGCTGCATATTCGAGCTTCTTTTTTTTTTTTTTTGGACAATTTCCGCTTTTGGAAACCTGTGCAGCCATTCTTTCCTTACCTGCATGTTTTTGTGCGTTTGTTTCTTTCGTATTACTGCAAGTAGCAACAGCACACGGTACCATTTTTTCAATGGTTTCTCATTACAAGCACTTTCTAAATACAAATTCAATTTAAAAGTATCCTCAGTTATAATTTCCAAATAAAAGAAAATCTCTTTCTCTGAAACTAAGAACTAAAGATCCAATCTTTTGCACTGAAGCTCTGGTCACTAGGCGAGGGGGCGAATTATGGGCCTTATAAGAAATAATCTCTTATAAGGTTCATGGGACGAATCAAGTGACGTCACATAACATCCGGTATGCTCTCCAAGACGGTTCGTGTTGACATTGTTCCCCTCAAGGTGATGACCCAGCCCTCCTTTTTCTTTAGCCCTGCCTCTTGTCTGTATGGTTTCAGATTTTTACATGTTATTATATTTTCTTGTGTCGAATTGCTTGTATTCACATGTTTTGGTTTTTGGACTCGATCTGCTAAAAAATCTAATAATTTTTTATAAAGAAAAAAAAGAATTTAAAGATTTTTAAGCTTGTTAATGGTTTTGATGGCTACAGTTCTGGGATTTTTTTTCACTGATTACTATGTACTGTAGGGATTGGACTGATAAAGAACACAGATTACTTTGATTAATTTCGGAGATTATTTTAGGTATTAAACTTTAATTTGTGCCTTTTGCCTCAACCTCCTGATAATAATGCAATGAAAGATATAAAGTGCTTCTGCCTTTTTCATTTTTGCTTTTAACATTTATTATACCTTTCGTGCAATTTACCACTATTATTTTTGCATATGGTTTTTTCTTATTCAATATAGGATAGATTTTAAACGTATTAATTTAATTTATATGCATATTATACATACATTTTATACAGTATATACTATGTAAGATATAATATAATACGATGGCTGCTTTAAGAATAATTGGCAATCTCAAAATTAAACTATTCTAGATTTAGTGCTCTCCCCCTAAATTCATCTGTTCTCCCAAATTCGAGATCTTTCCATGTTATATAACATTGCTTTTTTAACTGTGATAATTTAGTATGTTGGAGGAATCAGCGTGCAGTCGTCATGGCAGGGGGTTGAATGCGTACTGACGAAGATAACGAAACTGGATTTCGATAAATTAACAATCTTTATTTTCAAGCATATTAGAACAATTCTTCGTAGATAATATACTTCTTGATCATGAGCAGTTACAATATTTTCGTATATACACAGATTAAAATGGATACGACGTTAGTTTAGAAAGAGAGAAAGACAGGCAGAATAGCATAGAGTCGGTAGCGTGGCAGGAGCTAGGAAAAGATTGGCGCAATCAACTTGCGAGCGGTATTTATACTGAAGTAGATGCAATTGTAGAGACAAGCTGTGATTGGTTAATTTTAGTCTTAGTTACCTTTTTCAAGCAATGTTATATAACATGGAAGGATCTCGAATTTGGAAGAACAGAGGAATTTAAGGGGAGAGCACCAAATCTAGAATAGTTTATTTTGAGATTACCAACTATTCTTAAGCAGCTATCGTATTTTGTTATACACATACACAATGTTTCAACATTTTAAGCTTAACTTTTTTGTCATATTCTATTAACGATGTGTCAGAAAGATAAACATTATATTCATTTGCCTAGTTATAGCAGTGGCATCTTATATTTTAGGTCTTTGGGAAAATTAGTGTGCTGGGGCCTCTGCGACAACCACTCGCAGAAATGAAAAGTAAAATAAATGTAATGGATTAGCACGGAGCGTCTATGCTCGTGGGCCGCTGGGCAAATGCTCAGCTAGCGCATGCGACGGCCCTGAATTATAGTATCTAAACGGGAATTATTTCCCACTTAAGTTAAATCTTATTTCATTTCCTTATTCTGATTATCCAATAATATTCATTTATATGTTTATTTGTAGGTACATTCCTTATTTTCTATGCTCGGGCTCAACCATGCGTACGTGACTGCTATTGGACGATTAGTGGGAGTGGTGGCTTTGAAAGAGGTATGTGATTCATGTCTGAGTTAACATACATTACCTGAAATTGAAAATGCAACACCAAGAAGGAGTGGTCAGAAAGTGATGAAACTCGGCAGACAGAGAGGGACCGCAACGAACAATAAGTGAACTTTAGTTCGAAAAGATATGCATAATACAGAGCGAGAACAGCGTCGGCTCAATATATTGTAGGACCACCTTGGACGACGATACATGAAGCAATACGTCTAGGTACAGAGACTACGGATGGTATCCTGAGGAATGACTCTCCATTCCCTGTGAACCATTTGCCACAGTTAAGACTTCTGAACGCGACAATGGCAGGATCTGAAAATGGCGTTCCATCACATCCCAAATGTGTTCGATTGGTGAGAGATCAGAAGAGAACGGAGGCTAGGGAAGCATCTGTATACCTTGCAGAGCACGTTGGTTGATGCGAGCAGTGTGTGATAGGGTGTTAGCTTGCTGATAAAAGGCACTGCCTAAAGGTAGGGGAGTGTCACCGGCCGCAGCACATCATCCACGTATCGTTGGCTTGTGGGTGCGCCACCACTTATCGGCGGGTGCGTCGATCCACGCATGCTGACCTCACTCTGGATGCACCGTCACCATTGGAACTTACCACATTTCATTATTCCAACCAGCCTCGTAACAGCCGTTGCACTATGGACGCGTCCAGGTGTGTGTCAGCTGAAATTTGCCGTATGGACCAACCTGCCCTTTTCAGTCCGATTACCATGCCCCTTGTAAAATCCTCTGACTGCTGGAACTGCTTTGATTGACGACGGTCTGGCATTTTCTGCTGTTATACGCACCTTCTGAGATAAGAACAAATTTTCTGCGGGGATTTCCGTAGCAGAAATAACGGCACGAAATTGGAATATTCTGCAAGTTCCTTCTCCTTGCGTCTATCCTGAAATTTGCATAATTTTTGGGCCACTCGTTCTTGGTGTTGCATTTTCAATGTCGGGTAGTGTATATGAAAACACTACACTCAAACTGTCATTTTTACAGTTTTTTAAAACAGAAAATTTTTCTAGTTATTGTTATTTCTTTTTTTAGTGTCTTATATAAAATATTAAATTACATAATGAAAATCCAGAACAAACTAGAAAATTATAGAAATCAGATAATAAACTAAAACCTGCTCTTAATCATGTTTTAGGCAGTTTTATGATTTTAATGTTAGCGATGATGCTCAATCCGAGGTACACGACTGGTAAGTTGAAACTATATTATTCTGTGGGCAGACGTAAGCCAGTCGGAACTTTCTATCTTTTTCTAGTTTTTAAAAATATAAATAGTTTAATTTGTAATAAATTGGTGGTCATGAAAGTGTGAACGTTTTGACAGTGTTCACTGATAGCATCTCATTGCTGTTATTGAGCATTATATGATGTTAACACATTGCTTCTCATTTTAAAAATTTGAAAAAAATAAAATGAATAAAAGTAAATAGAAAAATAATTATGCAAAGACTGCAAACAATTGAATCTTTCGAAAGCTGAAAAAGGGAATCCCAAATTAGGGAAACTATGCAACGAATAGCAATCGTGGATAACTAAAACTGAAATGAATTAATGGCAAATTACAGAGAGTTCATAAAATAGCTGCATAATATGGCTACCAAAACAAGTTTTACGTAACTGAATGTCTATTAATAAGTAATCATACCAAGATTGGCTTTGGCTTGAACAAGTTGAGTAGTACACATGTAAATCTTTAATCCAAGAATTAAAACTGGTTTTTAAATAGGAATTTATGTAAAATTTTGGGTCATTAACTCAAAATCTCCCATTTTGTGAAAAGCGAATCCTTGACTTTACATTAGATATTATAAGTCCTTGTGTTTTGCATTATTTCTGTATCCAATATATCCATGTAATAATGCATTTTAATTATTGTAGCACAATAAGCACTAAATTTTAATGTATGTATCTGTTATTTTATCTAGTTAAGAAAAGCTATCGAGAATATGCAAGGAGGAAATTTTGTACGGAATGCACCTCTGTCATTTGAAACTATGAGCATTTTAAATAATGCATATGGAAATTCAGATTATCCTTCTGAACCTCCATCGGAAGCAGCTTCTGAAGTTGAAACTCCATCAGAATCTGAAGAAGTTCCAGGACGCAGTAGGTTTGTTTTCAATTTTAAAAATATCCAGAGGACTAGTCAGACGTCACCAGTTTGATCTATTCATGTCAGCCATTGCTGTTGTACATATTTGTTCTCTATGGCTGTTAAAGGCAAAACACTCTGACATGATTCTTTACATCATGTTAAATGGTCTTTCAGAAATGTTGCACAAAATTCAAAGTAATTTGAGGGGGGGGATCTTGTATCATTTACATAGCTGTTGTATACATGACGTTGTTACCACTCTGATACCACTTACTCTTCAAAAATTATTCATTAATGCAAATTATGAAGAAGTATTTTACTATTGTACTAAGTATTGATAATGTGAGTTTTCTGATCCAACCACATCATACACTATTTTGTTCATATATTTGAAATGCAGTTTAGACTTTTATGTATTTTTGAAGTGTTACTTATGCTATTCTTCTTGATGATGTTTATAAATTTACCTATTTAATTAGACTCATATTTTAACTGTAAAGTTTATAGAATTAATAGCATTAAATAAACATGGAACTGGAATTTATTAATTTCAAAGTGATATTACTGAAAGAAATATAAGTGTACTTGATATGTGGTTACCGCCTCATCCGTGACCATGAGCGCAAACACGTATGCGCCATTCGGACCGAATTATTCTCAAAATATGGTGGAAGGATGGGGACTTTCTTTTCCTCGAGCATATAAATTCTCTCTTTCCGGAGGTCTTCATGTGACCTTTGACGTCGCAGCAAGTAATAACGCCCCTTTTGGACGAGTCTATGTGTTTTGGTAGAATGCCAGCCAAGGTTACATTTGAGACGGTCAAACTATACCAAGACGCAGTCTAATGTAAACACTTTTGTCACTATACAAGCCCAACTCGAATTACAAAAAAAGAAGGTGCAATTAATTATACTCGATTTTAAGCAATGAAATATAACTGAAATGTTAGTTATTATGCTCAGTATCATTATATGTTTTCCATCATTTCAGGCTTGTTATACATACTAAAGTTGTCAAATGAAATTTAAAAACTATAAATGGAAGAGTATTGTGTAGCAGAATGGAGAAACAACTCACGAGTTATCATCTAAGTTTCATATTTGTTTATATATTCATGAAAGATTTTCTTTTGTGTTCATGGTGTGTTATATATTTTCAAGTTATATACATTCCTTGCATATTTACTGAGAATCATAATTTCCAGTTGAGGGCGAATTTTATGACATGGTTTTAATGTATTATATAGATATGTATCGGCAACTTTATATGTATAGCTCTTCTGATTGAAATTAATTTTTAATTAATTGTGGGGAGTTAAGTATTTTAAACTTAATTTAGAGAAAGTAGTATTCGAGATGAAATATTAGGAAGTGATACTGAAGTTGAGAAATTATCTATAATATATAACATAGTATTTTAATAAAGAAAAATTCTTTTTAGCTGAAATTGAGATTATTTTTTTATTTTTTTATTTATTTTAACATTATTGAAAATTCTACGAAGTTAAAAAAAACTACCAGAAAGATAAACCGTGCCAAACCTTTTATGATTTTACTTTTATGTGTTGTGGAATATATTATTTACTGGCATTTACTTAAAATTTATTGCATGAATCTTAATCAGATTTTTCGACATTGTAACGAGCATTTAATTTCAGGAAAGTATTTTAATAAGAGTTGTGTATTTGAAATGAATATGTTGGCAATTTCTGATAGATGTTTTAAAAATTAAATATAATGAATTAATTTTATTGTATAATAAATTATTATATACATTAAATGTATGATCATAACTACTTAGTTGTAATGTTTGGTGTAAAAGTGTGTGATTTTGTTTTGTATTTTAGTGTAAAATAATTATGCATTTTAACTGTGTTGTTGTATCAACTGAATTATAGCTATAAAGATGTGAAAATATTTATTTAACTTGGACTTATTTTCTGAAATTTTTACTATGCAATTCACATATTTTATAATAACAATGTGAAGTATTAAAATACTTGTTGTTGCACTTCATTGAGAATTTTATTTTTATATTTTGTATGTACCATAGAATCTGCATAATAATACATATCATAAAATTCTGAGATATCTGTTTAAAAATATATAAATTATTCAATGGCAACACTAAGTCTCTTAATTTATGTAGTAATCTATGAATTAGAGTATTTACCTCTTTGTAATTTTTATATTCATTTGCAAATTGTGTGTTAAAGCTACATACAATAATTATTATACATTATAATTCCTTATGATGATATTTTAAGTTTAATTTTTATAGTAAATTCCTGCTGTGAGAGACTCTGCCATATGTTTATGATTTAGTTATTTTATGGAAGGTTATATAAATGAATGTGCTTCACATTTTGAAATACTCTTATAATGTGTAGGATTCTGTAATCGTAAAAACTTGAAAAATTTAAGAGCAATTTTATCAGCACTGGTTGTCTACTTGAATAAGATGTAACTAGTAAACTAATGACATGCTGTCACTCTATTTTTTGATAATAGGATCACAATTTTTAACCTTATCGAGCAATCACCTATAAATGAAATTTTGTTTTCTACCTTTGTATACGGACATTTCTTAAAACCATATTTTTTTATGTTTACCCCTGGAATGCATTTCCCTTCATTATAATTGAATGCTGCACTTGATTTTTCATAGCTGATGTTGAAATGGTTTGTTGAGAATTAAGTTGCATATAAAACTATGAAACATATTTGTTATTTTTTTTAAGAAGAAAATGTCCATACCAAACTTTCTTTGCAGATTTTTTAATGTAGTATTGGTTTAATTTGTTATTTCAACTGCAAGTAAAGATTTCTGTAAGATCTCAACATCTGTAAAATTTCGTAATATTTGAAATATTTTAATAGTATGTCTCATGCATATTCTATACTCTAATATTTTACTAATCTGCTAGAGACGGCAAAGTATTATTGTTGGATTTGAAATAATTTATTCAAATATTTTTCATGCCTTGAGAAACTATTTTTAAAAAGGCATGCAGATGAGGTCTATCAATAATTTCCAATCATACTTAGACATGTGAAGTGCAGTACCTTTGCCAAAGAACAAAAGTTCAATTGAAAATGTCATTTGAGTGTTATTATTTAGATGAAAAAGGAACATGCGAATATAAAATTTAAATTAGGCCAAAAAAAAAGACAACCTTAATTTGGTGTTATGAACTGTTATTGCAAACCATTAGGAGGCGCTTCAGGCATTCTGTTTCCACAGAAGTTTGGATTTCTGCATGAACAAGAAGTGCAGTAATGAAGGTTTAGGCCTAATAATTCGAAGGAGTACGTCTAACAATTCATCTTGTAAAATACTGTATAACGGTAAATGGATTATGTGTGTTAAAACCAAATTCAGTGTTCATGTGAACATAACTTTACCTTTAGAATGGATACTTCATACCTAAACGAAATGACACAGTACCGTAGTTATAAAAGGTGTAGATTTTGAATAAAATTATATTAATTTCGTGGGAAGACAAAAACAAGCACTTCTTCAGGATCAAAAATCTACATCAAGCTAAGGTTGTTTTCTTGCCTAAATTTCAATGTCATATATATGTTACTATCTCATTATGGTTCCATCATTTCATGCTTAAATATTTTTATGTCAATCTGTTTTTTATCAGGGCTTTGTATAATACATCATTATTAAGATCAGCCTCTTAGATTGATCGTAATAATAATTGGACCAAAATGAGCATGAAACGTGTCTAGTATCCTTTTCCTGTATACATAACACAAGAAATAAGGTGAAACATTATATGAAATTTTAGCCACTGTGTTTATAATTGTGATAGTGCCAGTGCTCACCAATGACGGGAACACACATTACCAAAACCACTGTGGTATTTGCCTTATGACCTCATTGTTTATGCCTCAGCTCTGGCTGAAGTAGCTTCTGGTATAACATTCCATGATATATCTCTTTCCATCCTTCTGTGTACAAAATTCAATAAAACATTTGTTTTAAAATGTGTTATTTTCTAGTTCTTATAATCCACCTTTATGCTTAGGAAGAGATTTGTGCAGATACAGATTCAAAATATAAGCTTTGAAAATGATTGTTCTATTAGAGCAGTATTTTCTATTAATTCTAAAAATGTAATTTAATTTTGCAATAACCATTTGATTTGAAACTTTAAATAAGTCTGCTTGCTGGTAATTGAATCAGAATTTATGAAGGCAAAAAAACTGTAATATGTTTAAGAACATATTAACCAACAAACAAAACAAAACAAAAATTGCCAACCAAACAAAGGCATCTAATGTTAATAATATAGAAAGAATAATTGATACAGCACTAAAGATAAAGTGCATCAAATGCTAATGCAAAGGACATGAAATAAGATTATTCTTTTTCAAAGTTCAGCTAAATTTGCAAGAGTTTTTGATTTCAGAATTGAGAGAGCTTACGTAAAAACTTGTTCATGTTTGGAATTATACCGGATTGTAGGATCTGTCGCACGCATAACAGAGAGAACTTACATGAAATCCTCTTCATTGACCCTTTAAGTGCTTGTACATGCTTAACCTCTCTTCAGTAACCCATTAACTGCTGAAGATATCTATAATGGTCCATAACTTTTCTTGAAAAAGACACAGGTATTTATAGCAAATAGGAACCAAAATGCTGGAAAGTAGTTAGACCGTTTTCAGGTAGAAACTTAAAAATTCCCAAGAAATTATTTAGACCTGTTCAAACGCCACTTTCTCAAGTTTCTTTCAGCCTCGTATTTCTGCGGGCATTACGTAATTGACATAGAGCCCCTTACAGGGTGTGCAATCAGCTTCAGTAGTAGGATATCTTATTGTGAACCCACCGACAGATGCAACAGGGCTGAATCTTTTAATGACTGTGAACTCTGGATAGAAGCGGATTTTATATGAAATCCTGTTAGTAATAGTTTGATTCCAAAGAGAATAAAAAAGTAATATTTTGTTATTAGGTACATTAAATTTGCTAGTCACATGCCAAATGATTTCTTATTTAACATTTAAAATGTTCAACCAACTATAAACTAGTGAGAAAACGAATTAGAAGAAGGCCCAGGTTTTCATGGTTGGACCGACAGTGACTTTAATATTCTTAAAATTACACCCGAGGGAAAATTCTAATCAAATGGGAAGCCGAACATAAGGAGGTTCCAAAGAACATCATAGCTTACCCTGGGCTATCATACCAACGGATGAAATAATAAATTTTAGAAGTTGAACAAAAAACTGTAAACAAAATCGTATTCGTTTCATCTGCGACTGAAATTTAAATCAGTGCCATGTGGTTCATAAATTATTTGTAGTGATACTATTTAAATTAAGATGTGTCGTAAAATAATACGCAAAATTTATTACTAACTATTTATTTCCCCCATCGTGTTTATGTAATATTGTTTTAATACATGTAGTCTTCATTTTTATTTCCGTTTTTGCACTTTAAATACCGTAGAATACAAATAAAAAAGCAAGGTTTTAAAAAACATACTTGGATTCCTGTGTTTGCATGTACTATTGAATGGGTATTCTGAGCTAGAATTTGCAAATAAGCACTAACTGCATATATTTGAAAACCTATTTGAAGCACGGAAAGTATTGAAGAATTGCAGTGAAACTTAAAGTGGGAGCGAAGATAAAGGAGTTCATCATCTTTAAAGTCAAAAATTGGTATCGCAGCGGCATTCAGGATCTAGCTGAAAGATGGCTTAAGACGGTGCAACAAGCTAACTCTATCGTTTGCAATGGTACTATGGTTTTGAATGCTAAGCGCTTTCGCTGTGAAATTACATAGTAAGAAATAGAGTAATCAAATACTACAGAACTTTTGGATTACATTATTTGACTTATGCAAAGCACATGAACTGTATCAGTTAACCCATCCTCAATTTGACCGAGCCCCAAGGAATGGAATTCGAAGGCTCCTTAGGGCTCTTCGCCTGCCTCCAAATTCTTGAAAATGTAACAGTTTTTATTTACTACCCTTCATTCGACGAAGAGTATAAGGTGCAAAAAGCTAAACTTAAGGAATTCAAAAAAGGTCTTTTCAGATCTAGAGAAACATTTAAGTTAGCTTTGCATTATATAATCTTATGGAAGACATGTTCTTTAAGACCCAAAGGCCCCACCCAAGGCTTTCCCACCCAAAGGCTGATTGGCTAGAAAAAGGTGTCCAGCTGAGCATACCAAGTTGGGGACATATTTGCTGTCCATTACATTTAGTACATTTGTACAGATTCCACTGCAGGAGCATTAGGATTTTTGGAATGGGATTTCTTGAAACATTCACTTAGCTGTCGCTCTTCCGGTGATAGTTTTATTTACTCTGTTCCCATTTCCATTTATAGTTTTCAGCATTTTGAAGATAACTGTAAAGATGTTTTTAACTGTGTCCCTTTGAGGTTAGCTGCTGATGCCGAACTTCAGCTATTCGGCCTTGTGAGAAATAATGCTGCCTTCCATTCCGCCAGATTTTTTAGTAAAAGAATGTCTTTGTGTGCTCTCTGTCAGGTCGCATCATAGGCATAAATGAAATTCAGTCTCGAAGCGGAAAAAAAAAAAAAAAAAAAAAAAAAATCTCAGTAATGCAGACGTAATAGAAGCAAGAGATACTTCAATCTAAATCAGATTTATCGGCTGCACACAGCAAACCCAAGTTTACAATATAAATATAATCTAAAGTAAGCGGCTAGCACAAATATTCAGCTACAGAGCTACTTACAATCAGTAAAACATCCTAGTGCGCTCATTCAAAAATGCATTTAACCTTGTGTTCAGCCAGAGAGCCTAACTAACCAGTTAATATTACTTGAGCCTAGCTTTTAAATTTTTCGCCCAGCTAGCTTTTCTTGCCATTACATTTTTAATTTCAATAAATTTAATTTTCAATTTTTCTACACGTAGTTACAACTAGTTTTACAAAAATACAACACACTTTACATTCAGAAACATACATATTACATTAAACACAGTTATAAATATATACAAGTTTTCAGTTTTCTTATATCCAAATAGTGCAAAGTTGTTACTAAAAAATTCCATCTCGCCAAATAGCATAAAACAGTCTCTTGACTAAACAGGATAGTTCTGGCCACGAAAGAAAAATTTTCAGCTTCTTGCTGAAACAATTAAGGGAAAAAAACCTCACTTGGAAGCCCAAAATTCAGATAAATCTTAGCAACTTGGTTGACATTTCGACATAACAGCACTGAATACTTGAAAATAAAATAAAAAAAATTAAAAAAAAAAAAAAAAATCTGAGAGCTTTCAGATTTTACATTACGCCCAAAGAGGCTTTCTTTTAACTTTCTGTGGGTTACCTTTATTTATTAAATATATTCTTCGCTCTTAAACCATAAAATTCAGTTCAAAAGCAGTATCTCAAAATAATTTTAAAATGAGCTTATCTTTAGAATTTCCGATACACAGCCCTGGAGATAAATTTATTTTTTTTTTTGTTCAGTGTTGCGCTTTGAAATCGTTGAGTTTGTTAAACCAAAATTTGTTAAAATTTTACAAAATATGAAATAGATAATAAAACAAATTCCAAATTTGAGCTTCCAGCTTCCCATATTCAGGTGGAAACCTACGTTTTTCAATATCTGATGGCTCTATGTACCGTCGTTTTATCACCAATGGGAGAAACATACATACATTTAATGCAGATTCTTCATTATTTAATTTCTTTAAATATGATACAGGGCTGTAATATTTGGTGGCAACAGTTGGAAAAGTGAACCTACATTTAAAGTTTTCAACGCAAAATACCAAAACGGAATTAATAGCCCTTTTGGGCTAATGCCTTTTCGACTAAAAATTACTTATCTTTTCGAATTGGCGTATTCCGTCATTAATTTCTGCACAAACTGGTTCGATGATGGGAATGTTCTTGTTGTGGCCAGCTTTTGAGAACTTGCCGGCCGTTGCTTCTCAGGTTGAGGGCCAACTCTCTCTTCCCACTTCTGTTTTAGTCTTCTTCACTTTTTCTGAAGAAGGTATTATTCGGAGATGGTCTCTTTCTCCCCTCGGGACTTATCATCCAGTGTCTCTGCTGGAGTACTGTACGTTTCGCGTCTCGCTCCATGTCCTCAACTCTCCGTCGCTTTTCGCAAAACCTTCTTGGCTCTTTCGCCGAACGTTGTAGATTCCTTCCCGCTGACAGCTGCTGGTACACTGGCTGTTCGATGACCTGCTCTGAGGTTTGTTCTAATCTTTTTTTTTTTTTTTCCTTGATGCTAGCTGCGTTACAGGGCTTCCTAACTTCAGTCCCCCTTTTTTTTGGGGGGGGGCTTCTGATCTGTGTTGGTCTTGTGCCTTTTCTGCTACTTGGCTGGAATTCTATTTGCTCTCCTCTTAGTGACCACTTCGGCCCACCAGCGGCCGAGCGGTAAAGTCGCTGAACACTGGTAGTTCGGTCCGAGGTTCGAATCCCGCGAACAGGCTGGCTGCATGGGCGTTTTCGTAGTTTTCCCCATGCGTAAGTGTATACGAGCCAGTTTCCCTTAGATAGTCCTCCACGAAGGCATCCCTTCCCTTAGGCGGATAGTCCTCGAGGCTTAGCCATAATTACACACACACACTTAGTGACCACTTCTGGTAACTGTGCCCGGGCTGGAGTTGGCTATTTTTGGCTCGCAGCTTATTTCCATCGGCATTACTGGAACTCTGCAATAAGTCTTTAAGAAGCTTCATATCAGAACGAAAGAACTTCACAACATTTGCTTCGGGAGCATACCCAGGCAGCATGCATTCGTAAATTGCACGAGAAAAATACGTGCAATTTACGAATGGCCTTTCGTATAAAAAACGTTCAAGTTGAACGTAAAAATATCATAAAAAGTGTCCAGTGGCAATTACTAAATATTTACGTATATTTTTACGTTTTACTATACGTAACTTTTACGTAAAATTTAGGTATATTTATGCGAGAGACTACTGTTCATTCGCAACTTTTACGTATAATATACATAAATTTCAGGGATTTACGTATATTTTTAGTAAAAATTTACGTATATTTATCGCATATACGTAAATCTAAATTTTTTTGTTTCACGTATGCGTATATATTTAGTAAAAATTTACGCAAATTTCCCCGATTTTTTACTGTATATAAACGTGTATATTAGGTCAAAATTAAGGTAGATATTCCCCGTATTTAAAACGTATATATTATCCCGTACAAAAACGTATATATTTGATAGAAATTAACATATATATTTCCCGTAATTTACGGTACAAAAACGTATATATTTGATAGTAATTGACCTAAATCTTCCCTATGTTTTCTTTGCATATGCGAATGACTGGTAAAAATTTAATCCGATGTATTCTCCATTTTACTGTGTATAAATGCACATTTTTTGGTAAAAAATTTGCATAAATCTCCAATAACCTTTTCACTGCATTTTTCATAAAATGTACTTATTTTAATCTCATATTTTTTTTATATAATCTATGCAAAAAACTTTCTGTATGCTATGATTAAAAGGTAAAAATAATTTTTATATCAAATTCTTACATATCTGCCTTTTTAGTTATGTACAGCAATAAATGCACTAGTAAATGCAAAAAAATAAAAATAAATAAATTTCTATTAAAAAATTACGTAACACTTAAAGGCTGAAAATGACTTTTAATATTTCATTTCAAAGTGACTACAAAATATGCAATAAATTTCGTAAACATCAATTCTGTGTTTTTTAAATCAATTAATGCTATCGTTCATTTGCATTTTTGTTTACTAAATTCATTTCATAAATTTAAATTTAGTAAAAACTGTAGCAAACAGTTGTTTACTAAATAACACTTTAAATAAATTATTTGCTTTTCCGAAGGACATTTTCTTATGCCATGTAAATGAACGATAGCATTAATTGATTTAAAACATAGAACTCAGGTTTACAAAATTTATTGCATATTTTGTAGTCACTTTGAAATGAAATATTAAAAGTGATTTTCAGCCTTTTAGTGTTATGTAATTTTTGAATAGAAATTAATTTTTTTGCATTTAAATTTTCCAGTTATATATATTCCATATTGCTGTACATACCTAAAAGGTGGATATGTAAAAATTTGATATTAAATTAATTTTATCTTTTAATCATAATATGCAGAACATTTTTGCATAGATTTATATAAAAAATAAGAGATTAAAATAAGCACATTTTACGAAAAAATGCAGTAAATAGGTAATTGGAGATTTATGCAAATTTTTTACCAAAAATGTGCACTTATACACAGTAAAGAGGAGAAGACATCGGACTAAATTTTTACCAAAGTCATTCGTATATGCAAAGAAAACATAGGGAAGATTTAGGTCAATTATTATCAAATATATAAGTTTTTGTACCGTAAAATACAGGGAATATCTACGTTAATTTCTATCTAAAGTACAATATAGTTAATTAACAAATTCAGTAAACGAATGTAGCACAAAAGAAAACATCATACGTTTAGATTATTTGAATGAGTGTGCTAAATTTTAAAATTGTTAAATATAGACCAGGAAATTGTAGAAAACTTACCTTTTCCAATAGTTTACCAAGTTGACTTTGTTATTTTCCTTGAAGATGAATGTTTAATGTCACAAATATTTCATTCATATCTTCAGATAATACACAAATATATACATATTTATTTATTAAAATTCAGTTTATCCCAAACATGTTAAAGAAAATATTAATTTGCATGCAAGTTAATCGAGTAACTTCTGTTTTAATTACACACATAATTATGATATGTAAAAATTTTACATTTATCAGTCAATCTTGCAATGTATTGTAATCTATTATTGTTGTCTTTCTCAGTTTAAAATCTTATAAATATATTAGATCAGTACTAAAAGTTCACCTCTACAAAAGAAATGCTTTATTGAGGTATTTTTAAAAAGTTCCCTTTTACAATGTAACTGTTAATTTCATAAGTTCATAAAATTATGCAAATTCAAAATTACCTAAATATGTTCTTTATTTTATCTTATATACCAGATAAAATTTTAAAAAGTTAATTTGTTTAGGAATATTGAAGTTTTTAAATATTTATCTCATGTGACTTTTTCTATAACATCATTATAAATGTACATGTTGATGTGGACATACCAATTATTTTTTTTCATCAAATAGCTTTATGGTATTAAATGATTTAAAAAGAGGCAACTGGACAAAAGAAAGCAATTAGAAGTTGGCTAATTTTTTATTAATTTGTTGTCAAATGCTGTGCATTTTAGATTATGCTCATATGATGACAATGAGTTATTTAAATTATAAAATTATTATGAACATATCCCACATAAATTAACAAGTATAAAATTTCAAGTTGTTTGAAGTATTATGAACTGTAATACTTGCAAAAGAAATACACATGAAATTAATTTAAGAATTAGGTTTATTTTACAGGTATTCGAAAAACTGCAATTACTGTTAAACAATAAAAACTAACATTAAATCTGAAGAGCATATTTTTTTCAATAATAAAATTCAACATAGACTTCATGCAGCTTCGCCATATTTGTTCTATAGTTCGCTGTCTTTAATATCCTGCTCGATTTTTGTAAAAGTGAATTCTTTGTCACCCAATGTTTTGAGAACAGCTCCTAAACAAGAAAAAAGAAAATTTGTAATAATTTCACACTTCAGATGTTTTCAGTTTTTAAATATAGTTGAAGTATTAAAAGATGCATATAAAATGCACTGAGTATTTCATATTTAAAAATTTACATTTCAGTAATTAAAAATTTAATTTCATACTATCACACAGTAAGCTTCAATTATATACCTTACACAATGCCTATAATTTCAAGTAAAAAAATACTTAAGATTTGTTTAGAACTGCAAGGTTGAGAAAGTCTAGTATTTAAGTACATGAGAAAAAAATTTTGTATTAATTATATTGCATTAGCCTTTCAATTTTACTCCTACATATAGTAAAGAATATTCGCTTTCTTACAGATAACTTTTTCTTAAATAAAGAGTAAGCAGAAAACTAATCACAACACTATATACATATAACAGAATACTTCATAAACATATACATGTCATTAACATACGTATATGCATTAACAGGCTATTTTACACATTTCAATAAACCAGAAACCAATACACAATCAAAAGTATTATCAGTAAATTCCTCCAAAATCAGAGCAAAAATCTTTAATTATGATACAATGGCATCTCAGTTTGCAATATAAAATATTTCAAGTCTACATTCATGTGCATTCTAAGCAAACAGAAAGCTGAATAACAATAAAATTATAAATACCATAAAAAAGTTAAGAGCCACGTAGAATGATAGCAAGACTAAATGAAGTCTTCCTTCAAAAATCAATTTAAATTCAAAAATTTGCCTTCCTGTTTAACATCTCAAAATAGGGTTACTGCTTTCACTAACTAAATTTCCTGTCTTGGCAAAATAAAAATTGTCACTTCTGTTGCAGGAAATATTTGCTGCAAACTTTGTATGCAAATAATCCAGTGAAAAAAATTTTAATTGTGGCTTGAATATTTTCTTTATTAAATAAATGAAAAATTCCCACATAATATTAATTTATGATCCACATGAAGCTTTTTACCTCTACCATATCATGCAGCTATTTTAAAATATATACTCTCATATAAAAGCCACAGAATTTTTTTACCAATATTAATATAGTATAAATCATTAATAAATCTTCTAAAAACAGCCCCAAAATTTCTGAATTTGATACCCAAAACATAATTCTACGTAACTGTTAATGTATGCATTTGCTTGCACATACTTAAAATGAATTATACACACAAAAACTTAACATATTAACTTTAATAAATTCTTAATTAGCAGGATGACTCAATTAAGGCAAAATATGAAAGAAATCTACCTGATGGAATAGTTGTAAAAGATATATTTAAAAAAAGCTAATATTGTTTACCTTACACATGGCAGAAATTGAGTAAACTGTATGCAGCTGGATTATTTATTAGGAATAGAAGTTAGATCAAAGTACCAAAGTCACACTAGGGCTTTAACCATTTGGGTGCAAAGAAGCATCTCAATTTAAAAAAGAATAATTTAAAAAAGCTAATAGAATTTTATAACTTTTACAATCTAGTACAAATATTAGACACATAAACAACACTAAATGCCATTATTTACTTGCATATTTTCCTTCTTTGTGTACTTTACTCCTTAATTTTTCAGGATATGATTTAGAAACAGAGTTATGGTAAAAATGTATACTGGTAAAAAAAAAAAAAAATATTGCTGAAACTGATAAGTCCTTTGAATTATATACTATAGTGCAAAGAGGGATGGAATATGTGACTAAATATGATAAATCAGATTACAATAACATTAAACAAATAACATGAAAAACTGAAAAAAGAAATTTTATTTGAAATTATTTTTTAACTCATGGAAAGACAGACAGTATTTCCAACTTATTAAATTCAATTATATTTTACCTTCGTCAAACCAATATTGGTAAGAGAGTTGTATTTAAAATCGGTGCTAAGCTAAAGCTGCTTTCTTGCCTAATTTTATACTATTGAAAATACCGGTAATTGTCAAAGTTATTCGTACTCAATATGTGTAAGATTATTAATGAGCTGCCAAACCGCAGTTAACCATCTAATATACTACATTCAACATTATTATTTTTCTTTTTGAATGTCAGGTTTTCATTATTTCTGCCAATATATCTGTAACAGGACATAAAGATTGAGTTAATGTAGAATAGAAAATTACCTTGCAAGTTAGCACCTTTACCTTAGTGGCAGTACTTCATTCTCTAGAAAAAAACATTTTAAATTATTATACTTAAACAAAAAATTCATATTTGTTACAGCAAAACATCATTAACACAATAAACCAGAGTTGAATGCAAATCTAGTTTAACTCCATTCTTGAAAACTAGTTTATTACTTTCAATTTAATTTAAAAATAATAAAAAATAAGGTACGTATTATGATGACTACCTAGATATCTCGCCTAAACTGGCAATCCTTGTAGGTTATACAGGTTAACCCTAACATAGGTTATAGAGGGCACTAAGATAGAGAGTATTAATCCCACACTAGGGACTCTAACATTTGGTAGGAACAGTTTGAAAAG